TTTGCTACATCAGAAATCAGAAAGGGCTCAGGTAACGCGCACGTATGTGAAACAGGGCCTGTGAGATTCTCATTCAAAACCATAGAAAATGAGATTCTCTCAGGCACTTCAATTACTACGACTACACGTGTGCGGTACATGTGGATATCTTGCATTTCTGTTGGTCCCATTGGAAGGTATTACATACTACCCATGCGTATCTGAGAACTACTGCAGTTGATAAGAGCTATGCAGCGGTGCGACGCCGTCCGTGCTTCTGCGCTCGGGGCCACGGCCGGACGTACTTTGGTTTTCCGCGCTCTTGTCAGCCCAAGGTCGGGAAGGGAAGGGAAAACATCGTTGCTCTGAGAACAGATAATCCTGTTCTTGGGGGCTGTTACAGTTGATTGAGCCCCTGCGGAGCCGAAGTCTGCTCCAGAGTGATACTAGGGCCGAGGTCGCTTGCGCGCTCTGATCGTCTGCGCTCTACCAAGCCTAAAACTAAAGCGGAAGGTCGCGCCGCCGCGTAGCCTCATAAAAATAGCATGGCCTTGTTTTGTGCGAACTAAGGTGTGACTTGTTTTTTCTACTAAAACAAATATGTATTGTGTTTATAGTAAAGTGTTGGTAAAAATGCACTTCTACTATTCTCTTTGAATAATAAAAAAAATTGTTATTAGCTTATTTAGTTCCTAGACAAAAATTCAACTTGTGCGATCCGCCGCACTCATTGATAAGGTTACCTTGACTAACTGACTTCGCAGCAACCACTTTTCTCGAACGCCCTCGTGGCTTCCCGGGATGGTTTCCTAGACAGAACCTCAACTTATGTGATTCTCCCTCATCCACTGATAAGATTTAGGTCACCTTGGCTGACTGGCTCAGAAGCAACTAGCTTTGTCGGACGTTTTCTTGGTTTGCCGGGACGAGCTTTCTTGTTCCCAGCTTCAGCAGCAGCGCTCTGAAGTTAAGATGTTACTGACTCTTTCATCTTGTGTGAGGATTCCGGCTGACGAGTTCTTGACGAATTCCTAGTTCCGATTTTACTTCTTGAAGGTTACCCACTGAAGAGAATAACTTCATTAGAAACAGTTATTTGAGCTTTTATGGTGATTTCCTCAGTTGAGTTCATGAGCTGTATTGTAACGCTATACACCCTGTAACGATATATAGCTCCAGTCCCCTAAATCAGGGGGAATGCAGCTGTATACCGGCATAGACTCAGCCGCGCAGCTCGGCGACGTGGGGGGGGGAAGCATTTTGCACTTCCGCTGCTTCACCGGTTCCGGTTAACAAGCCTTACTCTGGTGAAACCTGTGAATTCTTGTGAATCTGGAGCAAGTTCGTCTAGCGATCATGTAGAACCTGTCAACTCTTGTAAGCTCACGAAATGGCTCTCTGGACGTGTCGACACGTCGTTGGGAAACAGCAAAAGTGGACGATGCCCCCTGCCCGTCGCCAAATTGCCCGACTCATCCAAAGGCGTCACAGTAATAATACAAACTAAACCAATAACTAACTCAACTTAGGTAACTATTCAATAATAAAGGATAAGTCTTCGCCGTTGATTAATTTCTTCACAGGATGCGGCACGCATTCTAAATTGTTCCATGAGAATGGTGGTGGCTCAGTGAATGCGATGTGGCCTACACAATGTGGGGGTGGGCGCAGCCGATGTACAAGTCGTGTTCTTATCCTCCCAGACTAAACTGGCACTGATTCACCGCCCCGGAGGTAGAAGGCTGACTGACCTGGGCGGGGACCGATCCGCTATTTGAACCCTGGACAGGGCGTGTGGTAAGCGTGCCCTCTGCCACTACACCACCTCCGTCTCTTCAAAGCTTTGAAGATCGAAAATCAAACCAGGAAAAGCGTCGAGAACCAATCCACAATCGTCAGCTAGTGTTCATAACCACAGAAAAGGTTTATCCACTTCGTGAGAATACCTTGTTCTTAGCAATCCAGGATTGCACTTTGGCAGTTGCGTTCAGCGGCTTGGAAGGTGGCTGCACATCACACAAATTTCTTGTTGCTTTCTATAAAACACGGTCCTCAGACTGCAGTGTATTTTGAAACATCAAATTTCACTCTTCGTTTTCTAGGTAAAGTATTGCCAATTACCACAAACTATCAAATCTGGGACGAACTTCACATTGTACATAGACAGAAAATTGTATGGATTTACGTCTGGAAAGTCGATTTTTCAAAGTCGTACCTTGGCTTTCTTCTCGACTGAGGCTGTTTGAGACTGTTTCCGCTTTATCCTTTGTGCTTGTAATGTAAGCTGTCGCCAAGTAGGGGAGATTTTTGAGTGCAGCTCATTTTGTTTGGTCAATGCCTGGAAATATGTAGGTGATAAAAAATGGAAAATGTCGGCCCAAAGTAGTCCTGCGGTTGGGTGGTCACCGAGGCGCTTTTGTTCAAGGGAGACGGTGAAGAGGATCATCATTCACCGCTCCACCGCGCGCGGCGATGTTCGCGGCGTTTTCTTAACTCGTAATAACCTGTCGACTAGAGCACCGAACTTTATGTAGATTCCGTCATAGTAAACAGTCATGACTATTTCCGGTTCTGAATTGCCTCTTGCCACCGTCTATCTACCTGTAAACGCATTGTCATTTGCGGGCGCGACGTCGCACGCGGTCGCACGCGCAGGCCGCGGCGATTACGATCCTCTTGTCACATACCCTTTGTTCAACTCGTTGTGGTGTCTGTCTTGTTTCGACGTGTTTTGGCACGTCTTTTTCAAGTCAAGCAATCGCTATATACGCCAGTTGAATGTTTTCTGAGAGAGCGCAGCAGAAGATGCAGTAATGACGCGGCATAAACGCCCGCTGCGTGGCACCCCTGAACTACCGTCTCCCCACAATGCCCTCATATCTAATGCATTGAGGCGATTCAAATAAACATTTCCTAGCATGTGCACATTGCACATGTGTAATACCCTTCCACTGAAATGAGAACGGGGTATGTCGGACAGCGTGCCTGGAGCGCATCTACCGTAACTGGTACGCTGCTGGCCGTAATTGCCACCTCCACCGAGCCTCTTAGCCGTTCTCTTGGATCGAAGAACTCGTCCAAGCCACTATCACCTTCTGGTTCTGTAGAATTGATTGACCATCACTGGCAAGACGCCAACATTGCAAACCGATGACTAACTACGCGCACTCGTCCGTTTTTGAGCTGATTTTCGACTTCTTTCGCCCGAACACTCTATTGCGAACCGCATTACTGTTCCGCTTATATTTATTCGAGCGAACAATTCGTTCTAGTATTATTTTGCACAGCTATGACGATGATTATCAACTAGTATTCTTCATTGCATATCTGTACAACTGTATGTCGGCGTCTTACCGGTATTGGTCAATCAATCATGAGAATCAAGGTGATAAGTGGCTTGGACGAGTTGTTCCGATCCAAGAGAACGGCCAAGAGGCTCGGTGGAGGTGGCAATTACGGCCAGCAGCGTCCAGAAACAGTATGAGCAGGCGGGCACGCCATCCGACCGCCTCCCAAATGAAAAGGCCACGGTCGCAGGGCGCCGCGTCCCTTGGGTTCTGCCGCGCAACACTGCCAAATACGCTACGCGTGTGCATGAAGCTGCGTCGTAGATTCGCTCCTAGTGAAGTCCACGTAAAGGCTGCATACAGCCAGTCAGTGTGTTCCCCTAGAAAAAAGGAACCCGCTAAAATTATGTGCCGCTACGTGCGCGGTAGCGTCATAGGGCACTTCGTGTGCTTACATACCACGTAATTGGGCGCACTGCTTCGTTTGGTGAGCGCTAAATAGAGTCGCCGCGCTGCAGCACCCCACGGACGCCGCGGGTTCACATCAGGTCGGGCGGGGGGGCGCTCAGCGCTGATTGAGATCCGACGAAAGATGGATGGTCGGTAGAGCCACGGCAGGATGTGAGGCTACCACCAGTAAGCGCATGCAGAGGGAAAGGTGATGTTGTCTTCTTTTTTATGCAGGGACTTGGAGGGCCAGAGTACGTGGGTCGCTTGAGTACTGAATAAGCTCACTGCCACCTATATGGTAAGTACTGGGTATTCGTAGCTGATTTGTTATATAGCTTTTGTTCATGGTAGGTTCGAAGTGCGTCTGGTTAATGGTGCGGTTGTTGCCAGTAATGCAGTCGATCGACTCAGAGGTCCAGGGCGGACAGGTGGAGGTCAGGCCCACCACGGGGACATGCCTTCGGGGTGGGTCCCCTACAATCGCGACCACGCTTTGGTATTACCCGAGGGAGGGGGGGGGCTGAGGACCTGGTAGTGCTGCGGAGCGGAGGCCACACTGTGCGGGAAAGCGGTATGTTAGTATTTTCCCGATCATCACCTTTTTCTGTGGCGTGACTGCATTAACTTCACGTCCACTTTCTACACTGAAGGTTTGACTTCTCTGCGAAGGAGGCGGTGTCACATCCAGTTCTTCGTCCAACCCTGCTGACTCCTGTAATACTGTTGGACAAGGTTAGGTGGCAATTTATCCTTAAAGTGCGACAAAATGAAATCCCCTCACATTTTCTGCTCTGCCTGCTGGAATAGACGAAGTCCAAATACTTTGATCAGTAGAGGATGCCGTGGATCGCGAAGACAACTGCAAGTAAAACCAGTAAAAGAAGCCGTAAGCAAAAAGCAGCCGAGTCACAAGGGAACCCAACGAGCGAAGGAATAACCTGTGAGGGGTAGGCCGCTGCTGAGAAATCAAGTGTTTGTCCTGCAAACAAAAAAGTTATAAATGTGGTCTCGGAAGCGCAAGTTGAGCAGCTCTTTTTTCCCCTAGCGGCAGATAACATCATCGGAGATGTTGCAAGTCGTGCGGTTGAAGCGCTGGCTCGTAGTCCACACCGCTTTGCCCTCTCCCCGGAGCCCTGATCCAGATTCAAAAGTGCGCCGTGCACAGGACAGGTAGCGTAAAACGTGATACTTCTAACCATGGAAGGTACGACGCGCCGAATACGGTAGCAGTTATTCCTGGGATTGCGAATTTTTTGCTCGCACAGATAACAGCAAAAAGTCCACTCACAGTTGAGAAAAGATCTGAAACACTTTGATTGCTTTGAAAAGTACTATTTGCAGAACAAGTTGCTGTAGGGAATGATGAACGCAGTGTGGACTCACTCTGAAAAGAGTTAACATCGGTGATTGCTTTTCCTATTTATTTTTACCAAATCCCTCAACTTGAAAGACACACCGCAGGAGTACCTGCGAGACAGGTCGCTATAATTTACAAAGTGATCAGTTCCGCTGTTACAGAATGACACTACTTTGCAACACGGGAAAGAGTGGAAATGAATTTTGTTGATAGCCTGGACATTCTTATAGTTTCCTCCCCCCCGCCCCCCCCCCCTTCCCCTCCTACTATTTGTTACGCGAAGTGCACAGCACACATTCCAGGCATCTCCCGAATCTTCGCAGCCGCATTCAAGCTGTAGAGAGTAACACTGCCGTGAAGGCAAGGCAGGTTCCAAAATGGGGAGTTATGCGGCTCAAACACAAATGACAGGAAGTGTGATTCAGAGGTGAAGGAAAAAACAACCGTACAGGCCCCATATAGAACCTCCCCATGCTGAACCAAGCTCAAGTGCATAAAGCAGAGGGTCAGGGTGGTTGTCACGTCACTCTCACCATTCGAAAATCAGCGGAACAAGAGCGTCACAAGGTAGCAGTTAAACGTGGAAGTTGGGCGTCGCCGTGGCCAACGGGCGGAGCCGTGTTCCGCCGCGAGCGAGGAGCACTTTTCTCACAAACTTTGAGCCACAAAAGTAACGTCCCCCATGCTCATAGGCAGGACTATCTTTTCCGAAACTGAATATCAAAAGCGAAGGCGGGCTGTGGCGTTTTGAATGGACTGAGAGAGAAGGAGAGAGAGAGAGAGAGAGAAGAGAGAGAGAGAGAGAGAGAGAGAGAGAGAGAGAGAGAGAGAGAGAGAGAGAGAGAGAGAGAGAGAGAGAGAGAGAGAGAGAGAGAGAGAGAGAGAGAGAGAGAGAGAGAGAGAGAGAGAGAGAGAGAGAGAGAGAGAGAGAGAGAGAGAGAGAAGAGAGAGAGAGAGAGAGAGAGAGAGAGAGAGAGAGAGAGAGCTTATGTTGCGTAACTCAGGCGCATGGTTAGCAATGCTGCCTGTTGCGTGTTTGTCACCTGCACTTCGCCCGAATGGCGCGTGCTTCGTAACCCCTTAGCTTCAAATTTCGCTACACTTTCCGGCTGACGAAGTATAACGCTTCTACAGCCTAAGACCTGCCTAAAGAAAAGCAATCCATCTCCCCAGGTAATCCATGACGCTGCACGTACCTCAGCAGCCGAAACACAACTGGTGTCAGTTTGTAAAGGTGTTGACAATACAGACGATAGCTGTTGTAGGCGCCGATTTGCATAGGTTGGTTCTTTTGAAAGAGTTGACAATTCACTGATTTCGGTAATTTTCTTCTTCCTGCAGCAGTACAGATTTTGATGAGAATAACATGATCCAATGAAAACTCACCACCTCTTCTCTTATTTCTGATGTGCTGATGATCCTATAAAAAGAAGTTACAATAGAGAAATAGATATTATTCCATCCACTGATTTCCTACCATGCACAGTGTATACTATCACATTGTGGCTTTTTTTTTGCGAAATCACGACCTCGTGCTCGTCTGGACGGCCCTTTCCCATTCTAACTACCATTTTTCAAACTTTCCTCAACATTCAGTAACTACCATCTTCGAACTTTCCTCAAGATTCAGCACCGAAGGGGGGAGGGGGGGGGGGAGCGGCAGACACATCTGATCAACTATGGAACTATGTTGGATGAAGTGTTTAAAGTACCTCGTCTGTGCTTTCGCCGCGATGTTGTGGCGGATTGGGAAGTTTAGGTTGGCGAGACAAACTTTCGAGAAGTGGTCTCTCTAGTTTTTCTGCCAAGAAAAGAATTCACTTTATTGTTATATCCAATATCAATTGAACAAACAACCCTCTGCTGCGCTGGCAGCAGCTCATGGTGTCCAGTTTGGCGCACAGAATCTTTGTCATATTAGCTGCGGCAATAACTCGAACTTCTGAAAATGGGGATCCAGAGAACGAAAGGCCAGAAGAATGACAAAGAAACGCACTCAATATATTTTACTGATGGTATCCGCAAAGAGAATGAGATTAAGGCCTCTTTCATACCTTGCGACCGATCAGCGGTGATTCGCCGAATCTCCCATCTCGCAGGCGACCGGCGCCGAATCGACCGAACCCCAACATTTCCGGCGAGCGCGCCAATCGGATTCCACGCATCCATGCCTACTTCTTTGACGCGCAATCCTAGAAACAGCGAGCGGCCGATGGCGCCACTTCGCCTACATCATCCAACCCCCCCCGTCAGGGTCATCTTGTCAATCGCTAATCTCCCTTCTACTCCCTTTCTCTCCTCCTCTTTATTTTCCTTCCTTCTCTCTTCCTTATCCTACCTTCAAAAGCTCGCCCAGAAGATTCTATGAGGAAATGTTGGACATCTTGCTTAGGGAGGAGATCCGGTGCAGAAGGCGCATTATGGCGCATGTCGAGCCTACTTCACAATTTCCTCGCGCGAATCTGCTCGAAATCTCCTCCTGACAGAAAAGTATGAACCGCTAAGACTATGCAGGAAAAGGGCAATTGTGGCATATTCTGCAACGTCCATCAGTTGACTTCAACCTATGAGAACCAGAATGAGGTACTTTATGGAGTTCCACTCCACATTCCTTACAAAGCAAATCTATCCCTAACGGGCAAATTGCACAGATAGGACGTTGTTCTTTGAATGTATGAGCATAGCTGGCAGGCAATATGAGTACAAGTTCCAGGTAAAATGATTTGGAAAAAAAACTGACGAAAAAAATAACTGGCAAACTAACTGGGAATTCGCGGTGGTTCCCATAAGTGAGGGCAGAAATCAGCGTTTTGGCTGCTAGTGTCCTGATAGAATATGTTAAATGAATTCATCGAATAGCCTAAGTTCTGAGGATATATAACACCGGACCAATTATAAAGCCGGAAACTTGACTAACCACAATTACCTTTTTACAAGAGGTTCTCCCTGCGGCTACGTCATCAACAATGTCAGCAATCTGTCTGGTACGATTCTGAGAAGTTCGAGTAGGCACTGTACGAATTTCGCCAAAATATCGGGCCCATTCTTCATCTGTAAAACAAGTTATCTCAAAACAATTCGGCTGCTTATCAATTTCAAGAATTATGACTTTAAGAATTATAACTTTCGTATCGCGCGCTGCGGCGTTGAAACTGAGAGCCTTTTGCAAGGGGTGTCGATCAAAAGATTCATGCTGCACCAACGGAGACGATTTTGCTACGGTTTTCTCGACATACTGTAGGATAACCAATGGACAACTGTAGGTTAAACCAATTAGGACCTTGTGCAAATGCTCCGCACGTGGCAGAACTTGCAACACCTCTTACAAAGTGTTGCTGAAACGCTGATCTCCTACCCAGCTCCCTTCTTGCAAAAACTGAACTAGTGATTAGGAGGTTGAATCACTTGTAGCACTCGGTCCCTGCAGGACTGTATTAATTCAGACTGTATTGATCAGACTATATTCCTGATAGCTATTTTGTCAACCCATGCTTAACAGGAGATGAGTAGGAAGAAAACAGTCTTGTCCGCTGCGAACGCTGGGGCAGTTAGGTCTGGATTTTGCGCGGCGCCAGCCTCTTCTCAACCAACTGTGGTCGCCTGCCAGCTTCCACAACTGCAGGAGAATAAGTTGGCGTCGCGCCAGACTCCGCTCTCCCCTGAAACGCCCCAGGTTTCGCAGCAAACAAGGCTGTTATACTTGAGAAATCGAAATGGGAAATCTGAGATACTGATCTTATCGAGTTTGTCTGAGGCTGCGTTCATACCGCGCGACGTCGTCGTCAACGTCGACGTAAGCCGAAAAGCGTCGGTTTCGTCGGTTACGTCGGATCAATACATATTTCGTCTTCGTGAAGTAGTCGCAGAAAACGTCGGTTACGTCGGTTACGTCGACGACGACGTCGCACGGTATGAAGGCAGCCTAAGAAGCCACCAGTTCGAAAAAAAACGCGTTCTCTCGACCCGCCAATCTCCACAGCAAGCGGAGATTATTTCATTCCCAGTCTTCCACGAACCGAAAGAAAGCTCTCGCTCATTTTACAGCAATAGTCATGATTTTGTTCTAGGAAAAGCTCCGACTAATAAATTCTACTGCACCACTTACCGGTCGCTG